GTTTAGGTATAGGGGGGGTCGTACCGAACCCCCAAAAAAGGGGGGGGGTCGTACGGGCTCCACCAAAATCCCCATCGAATGCTGTGCCCTGTTTTACCCTCTCAGCTTTTCATGCCGTAGCCTTACAGCAATCACATGTTTAACTTAGAAATCCGGTCAGCCGTAATCGTTAGAACCGCGAGGGCGAAGGCTTTATAAGTTTTTGAAGCTGTTTTGTTATGATAACTGCTGTTTAACGCCGCAGTACGCGTTCCGAATGTTATCACAAGAATGCTGAGTTGTGGGCAAAAGTCGTAAGGATGGCGCACTCGCCCGGAAAGCGTGAGGTGCGGGTTCGACTCCCGCCTGGGGCACGACTTTTTCCGAATTAAAATCAAAAAAGAGTAATCTCATGGTCAGCTTCTACATGATGAATATAACAGAAACACAGCAACGAAAAAATACATCAGAAATCAGCTGACTGGGAGCGTCAGCAAGTTATTGATAGGCGAGAGCCCAAGAGGAGTGGATAGATAGTGCGGCGGCGTGTGTTCGAGCGCAGATTCAATGTCGGAGAGCGCAGAGCACTGATAATGACGCACCAAACCTCCGCCTTTTCAGTGACACGCAGCCGTCGGACCGCTCGCTAGCGTGGTCGTATGACCACCCACCGTCCGAAGAAAACTCCCTGTAGCATGGGTGTCCATGATGTCGCATAATGTGGGAAAGTATTCGCCATGGTATATTAATTCAAATAAAAACTCTTATTGGTGGAGCTAGAGAGCGGTGTTGCTTCTTCTTTGTGAAGAACACTCCACACCAATCCGACGCGGGAAGAGCGACCCAGTGACAAGTTCAGCGATATTCTTCTTCGCTTCAATCCCCCTCTTCAATAAAATCGTGTAGCACTACATAGTTTCTGTGCACAACGAAATTCTCGTCAACCCAACTATTCATACTCGGATTTTATCCTACTAGGTCTTCCTCAATCTAGCGGCCATTACCGAGACTTGGCTTAGAGATTGCGATGGCCTCCTTCCCTTATTTGGCGAAATACCTGATTACAATACCAGTCGGATCGCTCAGCTGATGCTGGACGGTCCTCCTTCTAACAAGGGAAGGATGGTAGGTCGAAGTGGCCATTTGAAATGAAATGTATACCGGCTGAAAGGTCTTCGGACGGGAATTACGAAACCGTCTTCCATATCTGCTGCGGACCTCCCAGAAAGAAGTTACGGAGCTTTTTTAGGGGGAGAATACACTACGAATTGGCGGCGTAAGGCTGACGAGATCGTGGCAGCACGCCGCTAATTCGTCGTAGGGCTCACGGATGCGTGGTCGAGGGTTTGGATCCTTGATGCGTGTGCTCTTTTGCATTTTTTCGAAAGTGGTCCCTGTGCACTTCAAAGCTATTTTGCATAACACTTGTCCCTGATAATGTCGTGACGTAATGATTCTGAACTGATGGAGCCATTGCGAACGATTTCATGGAGAATCACATTCCTTACATTCATTCATACATTCATTCATTACATTACATACATTCATGGAGAATTTCATTACCTGCACCGGAATGCCTATCGACGAACGCTTTCCTTTCACTTACTAGGAAGGTCGAAGTGGCCATTTGTGATGAGATGTAGATCACTAGACGTGGTTTTGGACGCTGATCTTGAATCTGCCTTCAAAATTTGCAAAGCGATTCTCTGAACGGAGTTATGG